ATTAGCTGCAGAATCAAATTGTGGTAATCGGTCGCTGTACGAACAGGCAAGAGCTCTGAGGCAATCGCGAATAAAGAGAGCTGTTGGTTTTGGGGTATTTTTTTACTAACCGTTAGACGATATTTTATGGATTGTCACAATTATGAAACTGGGTAGAGAAAATAAAGAGTCGAAGTTATTGTAGCAATCGAAAAAGGTGCGGATTGTGGATCACGAATCATAGTTGTAACTGAAGCACAGAATCACACTAGCAATTGTGCACTGGAATTTCCAGTAACCGAGACGCAGGAAAAAGGCCACAGAAGGAGCAGTTCCTTTAATAAAAGAAATCCAATGGGATTTAACAATATGAAAATATCATTGGTCAAACAAATATCAATTAATCACCGTGCTCGTTGTTCGAGTCATACTACCTCTGTCTGAGCTGTCTGGCTGTTAATTAATCGATATTGTTAGTTCATGACAGAATGTCCAAAAACTGGAACGCGCTTGGCTGGTGTCATATCTGGGAGGACTGATTCCTCAGAGTTATTTAATAAATATTTAAACCACTTTCAAGACGAATGGGTTGATTGTACCAATTACTTCCTATTGCGATCTTGCTGGGGATATGAGTAAACGGAACTACGTTTCAGGGACACATCGTTCGAGCACAATCCTCTAGACTACTTACTCCCCCATGATTAGGGGACAATCTCAAAATGAAGAACAGTAGAGCATGCGCTGTACAAAACCGTAGGCGGCATCCATTCATGGGTTCGAATCCCACCGAGGCAACTGAACTTTTCACAATCTCGACATAAGAACTTCAAATCTGCCAAACAATAATTTGAACAGTTGAGTTTTCTATCCTGATCCATCTCGTAACTGTAGAAAATGAATAATCAAACTTTTATTTTGCAAGCAGCATTTTGTCCGCATTAATGGATCGCATTGGTTGACTCACTTTTTTGTATTCCGGTGTGCAGTACTCAGCCAAATGACAGGCTACCTCGTCCACTTTGAGCAAAGCCGGTTCTAGCTTATCCATGTCCTTCAGTGCCTCGCAGCTCTCCTGTAACTGAGCTTTGATCACCGTTTTCGAGGGTAGATGTGCTTGAGACACGGAATCCAAATAATCACGCATATCGGATAGCCATTTTTCGATTCCCTCGAACTGATTCTGCAGACGGGAATTGGTGCGTAGATGAAAGTGAAGGAAAACAGGCAATGCGATCGTCTTAATTAATATGAATAATAAATGAAAGGTCATCTACGCATAGAAAAACGAATAAACTGGTTAAATAGCTACATAATGGACCGAGTTATATTGTTGGCTTCCACTTCGCTGCAGTTCACTTTGGTTAGACGCAACCATTCTTGTTACTCCAATCTGTTACACACGGACAACTGAGAGCATTGTGCATTTTCATTTCCCGTGAGCAGAAAAGTCACCAAAAAAAGAAAACGAATAAGCGAGAGAGCTTTAATACTATTGTATACGAACAACGCGATGTGATGCAACAGTCGCCTCGGATAGGCTTATAGTGATTAGTGAAAGATTGAGTCTAATCGTTAAACCAATCGAATCCGATCGCCAATGGGCATTTGAATAACAAGCATTCTGAAAGACTTAGCGAGTTATTTCACGACTATACGGATAGCCTAGTACAAAAATTGGAGAAAAGCACAAAGCGGCAATGATGAAGAAAAAAATTTTTAAACCTGAAAATTCATATTAGAGGGGGAGGAGGAGTACATTTCAATCCTAGATGCTAAATTTCCTCAAATGAACTCATTTGTGGGCAACAAGGGAAAAACATGGTTCAACAAACAATGCCCAGACTGTCAGATTGGGTCGCATAAATCAGATTGTTTGGTTGAATTTTATTCCTGCATACTTTCGCAATTTACCACCATCTTATTCAATTACTAAGGAATATATTTTTATCAGTGAACAAACAGCACATGTTGTGTGAGTTATATTGATGAACAGTCAACTCCCAATACTACTGGTAACCCCTTATCCGTTATCAAAAGGTTTCGTATTCGGATCAAATTATGGACAACATTTAGAAACACACTTTGTCTACTAACTATTTTTTTCAGTAGGCAAAACTCTTTTTCTCATGAGTGCAGTTTTGACAAGACTGACTGTTCCTTGATGCAACTTTGGCCTGTGGTAAGTATAAACAAATAAAATACGATTCGAAAAGATTCGCAAAGTTTTTTCAAACCGCCCCGTGAGTGATCAACCGAAAGTGACATTTTAGTCGCGTAAGGTGAGTAGGAAAAAGATGTGAAATAGACTGAATCGTCTCTCATCCCTGTCCGCCGTACATCATGCCCAAATCTTCCATTTACCTGACCAAATGTGACCATTATCTGTCTGAACATTAGACGCAAATAGACATTCAGAGCGTGATATACCAAAGCACCAATCTGTGTATGTTTAATCCGTTAACACAATTGCAGTATCGATAAAAATTAAAAGCTGATTCAGATCAGATTAGGAACAATCCATTTCAAATGGATGGTATTTGTACATCATATGCCTAAGTGCGTATATTTGTGACAACGAGCACGGTTGGAGAAAGAGCAAGCGAGCGTGGTGAATACTTACCATGAAAAACTCCAGTTGATTGTTCAAATCTTCCAAAAGGCGTAGACGTTTTTTCAGTCTCATCCGAACGGTGTCCAGTCGGGCTTGGGTTTTTTCGATTCGACTCACGTAGGTCGGATTGCGTACCAAATTGGTGGTGCGTTTCACAATAGCGAGAAATTTGTTTTCCTCGTCTTGCACATCACGGATAATGTTCTGTTTGAACAGGTGAGCGAGTGGGGCGGGGTGGGGGGCCAGAAAATGTGTTTTCTCGAGTTCAACTAAGAGTTTCGTAATTGCGTAACTCGAAAGGTATGTCGTATGAACGGTAACCAGCTGACGCGAAGCTGATATTTTGCTTCATAAATTCTTTATGTATATATATGTATACATATATATACAAGTATTGATCAAACTCGTGCGACATCCTGACTTTCATCACGTTTGTTCTTCCCAAAGCTTAGTATTCCAAACCTCATTGACGGGCTTAAATATTATATTGTATTTTCATCTCGTCCATGTTCTATTCGCCCTTATTCATTTTGGAGTACTAAAGGTAGTTGCTTCTTAATGGAGTCTTCCAAGTTGACTGCCAAACAGAATTTGCAAGTTTTCTTTAATACACCCCACAACCTAACCAGTGACTACCAAGGTCGAGCAGCTGACGTCTCCATATTTCAGATACAGAGAGAACTTTTTGATTAGATTGAAATCCCAACTGCTGGGTGGTAACTGAATGAATTCCTCTTCAGACTTGACCCCTCTAGAAACTGCATACATGTGAAAATCATATTTCTTGAGATCGAACCGTTCTCTACTATCAACCTCAAGCGAGAAGGTATACTCACTTTCAGATGTGAAGAATATGACTTCGGCGAATGCATTCTGAGAATGACCGTTATCAAAAACCTCCCCTATCAGTGCAAGGTATTTTGTCATACCTAGATTGGTGTGTGCAGGGGGCCAACAACCAAATGCTCAGTATTTACATTCCTCCTAACTCTTCGGGACAGAATGAATATTTACTTCATTGAACAGGTAAAATTCATTGAAAAACTAGATCAGTAGATCAGATTTCTTCGCTTGCTGAATTACTCATTGGCCACTCATAACCAAATGGAAGGGTGACGGCATTTGAATTTATTGGAAAAAGCCACGCGTGCTCTGTTTTGTTGAGCATTCAATAACGGTTTCATAGCAGGTGGACCTCAGCTACAATTGGGATTGATTCATAATTTTCCAAACGGTATCATGAAGAAAACACGATTAATCCGCCTGCATCATTGTCTATGTTGGTTGTGGCCAACTGTTCTCACCTGCGATCAAATTCAACCATCATCTTGTTTCGATGCGATCGATTTGCTCTCTCTTGCTTTATGTCTTGATGGAGGAATTGATTAAGCAACAAATGGGGCTTATGTTCACATTGAAGCATGTCCACAAGTCAGGAACTGAGTCATCGAATTTCTGTGGCTCTCGAAGAAGTCCCCTCTAGGCTTCAACTGTATGCCGAAATCTATTGAATATTTTATCTGCTTTGGTATGATGACACCACAAAACGCTGATTCAACGAGCCACATAACTCAACTTTTGGAGGTGATTGTTTATATTTCTTAGAATATACGTTGAGTCCCTTCATGATGGCAGACTTTATGTGAGTGGTTAGTAATCATATAATTTATTAGCTTAGTTAATCTGTAAAATTATCCGTAATCGACTCATGTAGTTGGTATTGGATTAAAAAGATAAGCAATTTAAAATATGTGAAACAAATTACATAAAAAGAAACAACATCTTTGCTAGTTTGCATCAAACATATTCCAAATTTGAGCTGTAAATTTCGAACTACTACAACTTTTATCGCAACACTGAAGGTCTCGCCAATTCAAACGGTGATGGAAGAGAACAAAGGATATGGAAATGGGAGATAAAGTCAGGAATGAATACAATTTACCCATATCAATCAATATACAAGTATGATAATGGATACTGAAATGTATTCTCAAAATGAGAGTGATATTGCACGAGTTTGGTAAATTTATATACACATATATACAAATATGTATACATATATACATATAGTTATATGCATAAACATGTTGCGATTCTTGATTTGAATCGATGAGTCACAACAAGATCAAAACCATTCAGAAACCATTCACCCCCACTCGTTGATATGCATTGTGTACACTATTTTTGGTTGCTGTGGCATTCTGTGTCTAAACAAATGTCACTTCTTGGATAGAATTTAGTCGTGGGTATCGATCAGCTACGCAAAACGCATGACTATTTGTTGATTGATGTATGAGATATGAAGCAAATGCCCATGTTCAGATTGCGAATGGAAAT